GGGAGAGAGAGAAAGAGAGAGAGAAAGAGAGAGAAAGAGGGAGAGAGGGAGAGAAAGAAAGGGAAAGAGAGAGAGAAAGAGACAGAAAGAGGGAGAGAGAGAGAAAGAGAGAGAGAAAGAGAGAGAGGGAAAGAATGAGAGAGAAAGGGAGAAAGGGAAAGAGAGAGAGAAAGAGAGAGAGAAAGAGGGAGAGAGAGAGAGAAAGGGAAAGAGAGAGAGAGAAAGAGACAGAAAGAGGGAGAGAGAGAGAGAGAAAGAGAGAGAAAGAGGGAGAGAGAGAGAGAAAGAGAGAGAAAGGGAAAGAGAGAGAGAGAAAGAGAGAGAAAGAGGGAAAGAGAGAGAGAGAAAGAGAGAGAAGCGAGGGGAAGAGGAGCGAGGGCCCAGCCTCCGAAGGCGTGGACAAAAGCAAAGGCAGAAGAAGTTCCTCCGCTTTTTTTTTCTTTCTTGGCAGAAGCTTGAAGTAACCCGCCGAGGACTGTCGGTTTGAAGAGCAGCAAGCAAAACCAAAAACCAAAAAAACCGCCGGCCGAACCGGGACCAGGAGCACCCCGAGCGAGTCCACCCCGACCCAGATCGAGTCAGCCCGGCCCCCCGATCGTCGGAAAGAGTCTCTTCCCCCTTGGCGGGTTCAAACGGGAGTTTGGCCGTCCCTCTCCGCCTCCCTCTCTCGCGCTCGGCCGCTCCAGCGGCAGCGGCGGCTTCCATGGCTCCCTGGCTGGGCCGGATGGCGCTGATTGGGGCTCTGCTGGTTCTCCTCCCGCGGCTGCCGCCGACTCGCGCTCAGGAGGAGCCGTCCTGCGGGGCCGCCTTCGACCTTTACTTCGTGCTCGACAAGTAAGTGAAAGCTGGGAGGAGCGGGGGGGAGTGAGGGGGGGGGAAGCAGGCCGGGGGATTCCCGCCCCGACCCCCGGGGAACCCGCGATCCCACCCCCCCACTTTTCTCTCTCTCTCTTGCCCGCCTTGCAACATATTGTAACCCGCGGCGATCTTGCAACAATAACAACACGCTCGCCGATCCGGGGGGGGGGGGCGGGGGGGGAGAAAAAAACCCAAATCTCACCACCACCCCCAGGACCCCCGCAACTCCCCGCGCCGTGCAAGATTTCCCGGGCACGGGTGGTTTGGTGGTTGGCGGGTAGGGGTGAGTGGGTGCAGCTGCTGCTCCACAGGGGAGACCTCTGCATCCTTCATTACACACACACACACACACGCACACGCTCCTCTTTTGATGCTCTCCTCGGCGCTTCGTCTGAACTCGAGAGAAGAGTGGAGGGTGTTGAAACGTGCCGCGGTTGTGTGAAGCTGCAAAAGGGTAAAAAGGAGAAAAAAAAAAGTTTGCAGCGCTTCTGGTTGCGCTTTTTGTATGGATCGAGGAGGGGGACGGGGGGGGGGGGGGGGGGAAGTTGCCTTGGCCTGAAGCGCGTGTAGTCCTCGACTTACGACCGCAGCGGAGCCCAACGGCGCCGTGGGTTGATTTTATTTATTTATTTATTTATTTACTTACTTATTTATTTATTTATTTATTTATGTCAATCGCTTACAAGATAATAGGTATAAGTAAAAACATAGTTATGAATACACGGATACATATAAGAAAAATAAAATATATATCTAAAAGAAACAATAGGAAAGGGACGGACGTTGGTGCTGCAGGCCTCTTAGGAAAGGGGTGAGGTCAATAGTAGACAGTCTAAGGTTAAAGTTTTTGTGGTTTGGGGAAGAAACCACTAGAGTCAGGTAGAGTATTCCAGACATTGGCCGCTCTGTTGCTGAAGTCGCATTTCCTGCAATCAAGTTTGGTGCGATTAACCTTGAGTTTGTATCTATTCTTTGCTCTTGTGTTGTTATGGTTGAAGCTGATATTAAGTGAGGTTTTGCCCTCTGTCTTGCCCACAGCGGTTAAAGGGAATCTCTGTCGTTGTATAAGTCAGTCACCCAGTTGTTAAACGAATCTGGCTTCCCCCCCCCCCATTGGTTTTGCTTGATCAGGAGGTCGCAAAACGAGATCCTGTGACCTTGGGACATAGCAAATGGGTCATAAATAAACCGGTTGCTGAGCCTCTGAATTTCAATCCAGGGACCATAGGGATGCTGGCTGCCCAAGACTGAGAAACAGTGCTAAGGCACCGTTTTCAGAGCTTCGAACAGTCACTCAGCGGGCTGCCATAAGTCAAGGACTCCTTGTCGAGTCAGGGGAAGAGATTTGAACTTGCAAGAATATAGAGCGGGAAGGTTAGTTGCCGAAGGAGAAGAGAGCAATATCTGGTAGAAATAAAATTTATGTGTAAATGACATGCATTGTGAACAGTTAAGAGGAAAGCATCGTGGATGTAAGAGGAGCAGTTGGGATGTTCCCTTTGTTCTTTGATGGGATTATTATGCAGACGAGAACACAGAACATAGAATAATAAGAGCTGGAAGGGACCTTGTAGATCATCTAGTTCAACCCCCTCCTTGAGCAGGAGACCCTATGTCATTTCAGACAAATGGTTGTCCAGTCTCTTTTTGAAAGCCGCCAGTGATAGAGCAACCACAACTTCTGAAGGCAAGTTTAGTTTAATTTAGTTTCGTTTATTGTCATTGCACACTGTACAACGAAATTAATACCATCTTCAGTGTACTATACAGGAGAATTCAGCAGAGCTACTGCCCTGGGATAGAAGCTGTTTTTCAGCCTATTTGTCCTTGTTTTTATTATTCTGTACCGCCTGCCAGATGGTAATAGTTCAAAAAAAAAAAAAAAAAAAAGGGTGTACAGGATGAGATGGCTCTTTGAGAATGTTTTGAACTTTCTTTGGATGTCTGATCCTTCCAGAATAGAATAGAATAGAATAGAATAGAATAGAATTCTTTATTGGCCAAGTGTGATTGGTATTCTGCTTATTACTCTCTGGATGGGTATAAAGCATCCATACAAAGTCTTTTTTATTGGTTTATCAGGCATCCTTATCAACTCACAGTTATGACAAAGTTCTTCTTAATGTCCAATCCTTTGCATATCTGCATTATGGTGTAGAAAGATAATAAACTCTCATCCCCATGATGACTGAAGCAGCTGCATGGTAATGGATTCAGGCAAGAGGGAGGGAGACTCCCCCAACCCAATGAGAGTGAATTTAGTGACCAATCAGGATTACAGATGTGACCACAAGACATGGACTACATTTCCCAGGATACCTTAAGTACATTTACCATGATGCATTCCCTTAAGGGGACAGCTCTCAATTCCTAACTATCCCAAATCCCATTAACTCTAAATTGTCAGGACAGCACAATTGGACACACAAGGAATTTGTCTTGGTGCAAATGCTCTCAGTGTACATAAAAGAAAAGATACATTCGTCAAGAGTCAAGAATCATAATGTACAACACTTAATGACAGTCATAGGGTACAATAAACAATCGAATCATACTAGGAAACAGTCAATATAAATCGTAAGGATACAAGTGACAAAGTTACAGTCGTACAGTCATAAGTGGGAGGGGATGGGTGATAAGGAGTGATGAGAAGATTAATAGTAATAGTAATGCAGACTTTGTAAATAGTTGGACAGTGTGGAGGGAATTATTTGTTTAGCAGAGTGATGGTGTTTGGGGAAAAGCTCCTTGTGTCTAGTTGTTCTGGTGTGCAGTGCTCTAAAGCGTCATCTTACCTTGATTGGACTTATAGTTATAGTTTTTGTTGACCATGTTTTGGACTTGATTCTCTGCAGTCAAAGGCTGTTCCTGGGAGAGTTTTTCTCCAGACCTGAAGGTAACCAGGACATTGGGGACAAAGTTGGAGCTAATAAAGGGACTCTCACTGATTATCTGACTGTGTTGCCTTTGTGCCACACCCCTTTGGGTCATCACAGAGACTTTTTGTGACAGATATTGTTAGAAAAGTAATATGCCGCATGTGGATTGTTTTAAAAAAACAATGTGAAACTTCATGAAAGGCAAATGTGATTCATTTCAGTGGGATGCCTTTCAGAAAGAAAAAAAAGCGAGCTAAGAAGTTTCATTATTTTTAAAATAAACGTTGCCAGAAGAACAGCAATAATACTAATGAGAGTTAAAAAAAGACAAAGCACAGGATGCTTTCAAAAACTCTGTCTCCAATGCCAGAAGGGGTCTCTATTAATCCAACAGTGAATTTCACTCTGTATCTCTGTGACCAGTGGTGGGATTCAAATTTTTTTACTACTGGTGCTGTGGGTGTGGCTTGGTGGGTGTGGCAGAGGAAGGATACTGTAAAATCTCCATTCCCTCCCCACTCCTGGTGGAAGGATATACTGCAAAATCCCCATTGCCTCCCCACCTCACTAACCTGCTTTCCAGCTCCATTCTCCCGTGTAGGGCAACCAAAGGAGACCCAGCTGATCAGCTGGGACTCAATGGGAGGCAGAGAATAGATGGGGTTGGCGGGGCCAGTCAGAGGTGGCGTTTGCAGGTTCTCCAAACTACTCAAAATTTCCGCTACCGGTTCTCCCCAGAACTGGTCAGAACCCGTGAATCCCACCTCTGTCTGTGACGTACAGCGTAATCCTCAAATTAGGATTGCAATTGAGCCCAAAATTTCTGTTGCTAAACGGGACGGTTGTTCAGTGAATTTTGCCTCGTTTTATGAACTTTCTTTCCATGGTTGTTGAGTGAATCACTGCAGTTGTTAAGTTAGGAACACTGTTGTTATGTGAATCTGGCTTTCCTGTTTACTTTGAATTGTCAAAAGGTTGTAACAGGGGGGACGGCAACCATCCTAAATATGAACCAGTTGCCAAGCACCCGAATTTTGAACCCATGACCATGGGGAAGCTGCAACGTTTCTTACCTTCATAAGTGTGAAAAATAGAATATAGAGTAGAATAGAATTCTTTATTGGCCAAGTGTGGTTGGACACACAAGGAATTTGTCTTGGTGCAAATGCTCTCAGCGTACATAAAAGAAAAGACACATTCGTCAAGAGTCAAGAATCATCAGGTACAACACTTAATGATAGTCATAGGGTACAATCAGCAATCGAATCATACTAGGAAACAGTCAATATAAATTGTAAGGATACAAGCGACAGAGTTACAATCATACGGTCATAAGTGGGAGGCGATGGGTGCTAACTTTATACAGTACATAGAGGCCATGGTCCTTTTTTTTGCAAAACCTCCCTGTCTTGCCCCACTGTGAGATAACAATAGCTTTCAACGGTTTTCATCTTTTGATCCCCTGCTAGTTTGAAAGTGGTTGTGTGTATTTTTGGCTGATGCTTGTGTTGCCAAAGGGGGATCTTGAAAACCAGCCCAAGTAATAAAGAAACAAGCGAGAGGAAGATAGTATGTGAACAGCTGTTGCTTGTACATATATGGTAGTGTGAGAAGGTGATTTGTAAGGTACATAGGAATGTATTTTGTTTTGTGGATTCCAATGAAATGGACGAGGGATTTTCTGGCCTAAATCCCACAGTTTATGGTTTAGATCCACGCCCTTTCCCAGTTCTTTGGAAAACCCATGGGAAGATGGGAAAGGGTAGTGGATATTTATTTATATTTTATATAATTTTATGTTATATATTTGCATCCTGTCTTTATTGTTTTTACAAATAACTCAAGGTGGTGAGCATATCTAACATGTCTTCTGTCGCGTGTTTCCTTCACAACAACAACCCTGTGAGGTAGGCAGCGCTGAGAGAAAGAGTGAGTGGCTCAATGTCACCCAGTTGACCTTCGTGCCTAAGATGGTTCTAGAACTCCCAGATTCCCACTCTCTAGCCTGGTGTCTTAATCAATACACCAAACTGGCTCTCTTCAATTTCTCTTAATGTCTCTTTGGTGGACAAGGACATGTTTGTTCCTTTGTAGCAGAGTCATTGTGTGCTGTTGTTTGAATTCAGCTATTACGGATATCTGTCTACCTGCTTCCAACTTCCCCTTTTTATAAGAAAGTTTGTTGAGAAGTTGGTGGGAATTTAGTTACTGAAGGCCGTAGAAGAAGAGATTAGCTGAGCCCTTTTAAATAAACTTTTTAAAATCGGGTGTAGGACAATTCACCATGGCCAAATCACCACGGCCAATTCGCCATGATCAACTCACCTCGGGCAACTTGTCATGGCCAGCTTGCTATGGCCAACTTGCCATGCAACAAATGTTACATAATATTGAAGAAGTGGTGAAATAGAATTGTTGAAGAAAGGACGCAAAAGGGGGAACAAAACGAAATATGAATGATAAAAAATAAATTTTAAAAAAATAATATTTCAATTCATTAAATAAAATTGCTGAATTGTCCTGAGTTGAGTTTTGTCCTATGGTGAGTTGGCCCTTTCTATTTAAAGTCAGCATTCGCCCTGTGCGTGGAATAGAAATAACATTGTTGTTTTTGTGGGTGACCTATGTGGTAAACCAGTGGAAGGAATGCAACCCTCTTGGTTTTTACTTCATTTCTCCATGGTGTTCAATAGTATTAACTATAGCAAGGGTGTCCAACCTTGGCAACTTTAAGACTTGTGGACTTCAACTCCCAGAATTCCTCAGCCACAAGTCTTAAAGTTGCCAAGGTTGGACACCCCTGAACTATAGTATGTTTCTGGGTCATTGCAAGAATTAGAGGTGCTATTTTCAATAGGCCCATTGTTTCCAAGCAAGTGGCATCAATCATTTTAGGGGGCAGAGGAATCAGACTGGGGAATTCTTCCTTGGTATTGTTCTCAGGCTTAGTTCACACTTCTGCTTTAACATTCACACGAAACCGCTGGGAGCGATTTGGTTCAGGGTGAAGCCTCATCCATTCCTTCATGACGTTCTAAAATGATAGAATTTATAGAGTTGGATGGGATGATGAAGAATGTATAGTAAATCCCCCTGCAATATATTCAGGAAAACTAATCAAACCATCCTTACCCAGCCTCTTCTTAAAAAAAGCTTTAGAGATGGAGAACCCAACCTCCATTGGCAGATAGATCCACTGTTGTATAAATCTTAACCATCAAAAAGTTTTCCTTTTAAACCAGAGGTATCAAACCTTGGCAACTTTGAGACTTGTGGGCTTCAACTCCCATTCCCCAGCCAGCTATGCTGGCTGAGGAATTCTGGATGCTGAAGTCCTCAAATCTTAAAGTTGCCAAGGACGATTTAAACAAAACAACCGTTGATTTAAACAAACTTTAGGTCAGTATAATTTATACTCTTTATTTTGGGTCCTGTTTTTTGTGGGCATGGAGCAATAGTTCTTGTGACCATACTCCTTGTAGCTTCTCTTTATGTACCTGTGCATGACTGTCATGTCTTCCTACCTCTTCTTTCCTTCAGAATCCCAAATTCCTTCATTTTGCACTGTAATCCCAATCTTTATTTTCCCCTGAAGCCTCTTTAATCTGTCAATATATTGTTCTGAAAAAGAAGCACCTCAAATAAGGTGTGATCCTACCTGTGTGATAAATAATGATAAATCATGACTTTTTGCATCTTTGATAACGATCTTTGATTTATATCAAAGATTGTATCAAAACTCATCACTAGGTTAGGCCTGTTCCACATTACTAACTCATATTCAGCTTGATGTCCATGACTCAATCCAAGTCCTTCTTAGATGCTTCCAAGTCAGGAACTCTTAATTTTTGCATGTGTCTTCTACATTCCTTTCTTGCTAATGTAATGCCATATTTCTCCCTGTCTTGTTCATCCCAATTCAATTTTCCAAGTGTTGTCCAAACCTCTCAGTCTTGTGTCATCATAACATTTTATTAAGCAGCTCATTAAATTCCATCCTCTAGACCAATAGTTACAAAACTCTGGCCACAAGACCTATCTCCGTCTAACTCCATAGGTTGCTGATGTCTTGCTTGACATAGGTTCATAAGTGATGACATTCTGAATTCAGTAGGGTTCTGACACTGTAACTGTAATTCTGTTTTCATTTGGGGAGGTGTTCTTTTATTACTTCAAACATTAAATACTGTATTATAGATATTTGATGGTTACCAATCACTTTCCACTGAGGAGAACTAGTATAAATATCTAAATAGTATAATTATATAATTAGTTGTGGTCACCACACTATAAAAAAGATGTTGAGACTCTAGAAAGAGTATAGAGAAGAGCAACTAGGAGGATTAGGGGACTGGAGACTAAAACATATGAAGAACAGTTGCAGGAACTGGGCATGGCTAGTCTAGGGAAGAGAAGGACCAGGGGAGACAGGATAGCAGTCTTCCAATATTTGAAGGGCTGCCACAGAGAGGAGGAAGGGGTCAAGATATTTTCTAAAGCTCCTGTAGGCCAGACAAGGAATAATGGATGGAAGCTGAACAAGGAGAGATTTAACCTGGAAATAAGGAGAAATTTTCTGACAGAGCAATCAACCAACGGAACAGAAGTTGCTTTCGGAAGTTGTGGGCGCTTCATCACTGGAAGCTTTCAAGAAGAGACTGGACTGCCATCTGCTGAAAATGGTTTGGGGCTCCTGCTTGGGCGGGGGTTGGACTAGATGACCTACAAGGTCCCTTCCAAATCTGTTAATCTGTTAATTTGTTAATAATGATACCAGTAGTCCTTGATTTACAACCATAATTGAGCCTAAAATTACAGTTGTAAGTCATGCCAGTCATTAAACAGGTTACCATGTGATCATAATTGATTTTATGACCTTTTTGCAGCAGGCCTTAAGTGAATCACTGTGGTCATTAAATGGATACTGTGGTTGTTAAGTAAACACAGCAGTTGCTCAGTAGTGGTGGTGGTGGTGGTGGTGGTGTGTGTGTGTGTGTGTGTGTGTCTGTGTGTCCTAGAATTTAGGATCCAGGTTGTAGATAGCCTTGAGGAAGTCTGTTGTAACTTCAACCCATTGCTTAATGACTAGTCGTAAGTCGGAAACTAAATGTGGCAGGAAAGTCTGAATCCTTCATGAAAACTGTTTCAAAGAAGTATTTTAAGAAATTTAAGAAGCTTATTGGTACTTAATGAACATTCATTTTGGCTCTTTTTTTATAGATCAGGGAGTGTAACATCACACTGGTCAGAAATTGTTGAATTTGTGAAGCAGCTGACAGAAAGATTTGTGAGGTAAGTTGTCGAACGAGTCAGAAAGAACCGTATTTCCTTTTTTTGTGGTAACTATTTTCTCTTAATTTCCTGTTTCCCCTGGAGACTATGAATAGTTTCATTGCAAATGAGTTCGAAACTAGATCTGGATTGTTCTTAACAACATAAGAACGTATGTAAGTTGAAAAATAATCTGGAACATGTTTATATCATATTTTCAACACTTACTAAGAATATCTCTAGAAATGGCCACTTAGAGTGGAGTTTGAGCCTGCATTATAGTATACCAAATACAATTCTGACCAAAATGATGGCCACAGAGCAAAATAAAAAATAAAAATGGAGGGGCAGGAAGAGATTACATATATAGTAAGAGTAAAAAAATACTATTTATCAGAATGTAAAAAAAGAGTTGTTTTAAATCAGTCCGGTGAAAAAGAACAAAAACAGAAAATAACATTTTTGGTCCCTCAGTTTTTCTTTCCTCTTTTTTCTTCTTTTTTCATTATACAATCACATCTTTTCATGGATTTTCAGGAAAGCAGCTGTGGGACACCAGGCATTTATTGATATCTATGGTTTTCTGACTTCTTCCCAAGGATGTTACACAGATGTGTGCAACATCTGCCTGATAATGGCAGCATGATTTTGATCATGGCACTCCTGAGACAAGAACAAGATTATTTTTAAAAGTATAGACGATGCTCAAGTCTAGTTAAACACAGGACCCTTTGAGTCTTGGAAGCAATTCCGTATAGACATCACCGCACTTAATTGTTTCCTATGGCAAATGCAGTACAGTTAGGCAATTGTGTTTGGCCATCTGCGGCAAAACCATGTGGAAGAGGAATCTTAATTGCAACGCATCTAACTTCATAGGGCAGAAAACAAAGCCTCTATAGTATAAGGAAAGAAATCTGATTGGTTTCTTTTTCCTGGTACAATGTAAGTGGATAAAAAGAGTAACTGGCAGAGGTCACAGGATCTGGAATTTCAGTTACTGGCAACCGAAAGGCTTGTTCCTTCCAAAAATGATCTGATTGCCCATTCCTGAGTCTTTTGGTCACTCTTGATTTCAACAAGAACTCCACCCTTTTATTTCTGAACTGACAGGAAAATAAACGATTTGGAATCGTTCTTAACAGCTTTTGAGATTTTGTCCTTGTTTCCTTCACTCCTTTTCTTTCTTTTGGGAAAAAGAGGAAGGGCTCCATGCTTGACAAATGCTGTTTAGTGCAGCATATGGTAAAAATTCTGAGCAGGTGTCATTTTCAGAATTAGATCACTCCAAGTAAGGCTCATACATCTGTTCCCCATTTTTTCCTCCTTTTCTGGGCCTGAACGAACGACGGAGGCCTCAAGTTACAACATTAACACACGTTTCGGTTTCTTTTTAAGAGCTTCAAATATTTAAAAACGGATGTTGAAAAAAGAATGGGAATGTATGCTTATGTATTTCTCCCCGAATGGAATTCCTTGATGGTGGGATTAAAAAATGTATATCTGTAAACATACAAAAAGGTTAAAAAAAAAGAGTATTTGGCAATGATGAGATCTATCTTTAGACAAAGAAAAATCAATGGAGGAGAATGCTTGAGATGGTTCCCTCGGATTAAATTATAATTGGAGGACACAAAATGGCCCGCTTTGCATGATAACAGTCTCTCCTTCATTTTTCGTGACAACTTGTGAGACAGGTGCTTGACGTGGTCTTTCTGGACCTTCCTGGGCTGTAAAATGACCCTACACCAAGGATCTTCAAACTTGGCAAGTTTAAGACTTGTGGACTTCAACTCCCAGAATTCCTGAGCTAACATGACTGGAGGAGGAATTCTGGGAGTTGAAGTCCACAAGTCTTAAAGCTGTCAAGCCTACGCCCTCGTGTACATAGGACATATGCACTGTACGCAGACAGCTCTGAGATAATGCTGAAATGTCTGCAAGCAAATGAACCGAGCTCAAAAGAGCACCAAATCTAGCAGTATGAGCCATGGTGGCGCAGGGGTGCAGTGGTTTGAGTGCAGAACTGCAGGCTACTTCTGCTGACTGCCGCCAGCCTGCAATTTGGCAGTTAGAATCTCACCAGGCTCAAGGTTCACTCAGCCTTCCAGCCTTCCAAGGTGGGTAAAATGAGGACCCAGATTGTAGGAGAGCAATAGGCTGACTCTGTAAACTGCTTAGAGAGGGCTGCAAAGCTCTTTGAAGTGGTATATTTGTCTAAGTGCTAGTGCTAAGAAGGAAGGAAGGGAGGGAGGGAAGGAAATAGATTGTTGGAGAGCAATAGGCTGACTCTCTAAACTGCTTAGACAGTGCTGTAAAGCACTGTGAAGTGGTATATAAGTCTAAGTGCTATTGCTATATATTCTGCTTTCAGAATAGATGAACTATAGAATTGCCAACCAACATGTTATGTACCGTATACTAGATAATTCTCTGTGTGGTCAAATTAAAGAATCCTTTAAATGTTCTGGCTTACATGGCTGAAGTTTAATGTTTATCTTTCTCTTTCTCATCTTTAAAAGCCCTCGGATGAGGATATCTTTCATTGTGTTTTCCATGCAAGCAACTGTGGTTCTGCCACTAACCCAAGATAGGTAAGTAAATGTTGGCATTGCCCATTTTTAAATGCTAGCCAATACTTTTTTTTTAAGCAACAGAACTGTGAACCTTTTCAGCAATTAGAATTATAAAGCTACAATAATTGGATAAGCAGTGTTAGATCAAATTCAGGCCTCTTGGGGATTATCTGTTTATCTGACATATGAACGGTCATGTTTAATTGCTATTTTGACTATCTCTTTCAGGGCATACAAGTCCTCTGACTCATAGTCATATACAGGTAGTCCTTGGTTTATAACCAGAACTGAGCCCAAAATTTCCCATTGCTAAGCAAGACAGTTATTATTTTACAGCCTTTCTTGCAACATTTGTTAAATGCATCAGGGCAGTTGTTAAGCTAGTAACACGATTGTTAAATGAATCTGTTCCCCCCAGTGGTGGGTTTCCACATTTTTTCCTACCAATTCTATGAGAGCGCGCACTGTAGCGATGCTGGAACTGCATAAGTCTGAGAATTGGTCATAAGTCAGGCTTTTTTTCAATGCATTGTAACTTAGAATGGTCATTAAATGAGTGATGGTAAATCAAGGACTACCTGTATATGATATATAGTAGGGTTAATCTTATGGAACATACTTAGTTTTGATTCAGTTGGACAGTAAAGTATTGAGATCCAATTTAATTTTTCCCCATTACTTTTTTGGAGTGCAGACGCCGACGTGTCACTCAAACTTCAACTACAGTCTTTGATTAAAAGAAATAATGGGCACCTTTTAGGTCCAGACCACGAGTCTGCTTTCTCACTTCATTCTAGTGGCCTGTTACAAAAGTTGCCATGGCGACACAGTGGTTAGAATGCAGAATTGCAGGTTAATTCTGCCCACAGCCAGGAGTTCGATCCTGACCAGCTCAAGGTTGACCTCAGCCTTCCATCCTTCTGAAGTCTGGCAAAATGAGGACTCAAATTGTTGGGGGCAACAGGCTGACATTTGTAAACAGCTTAGAAAGGACTGTAAAGCAGGATGGAGTGGTATATAAATGCTATTGCTATTGTTAGCAAAATTTCGGGGACCATTTTGAAAACTCTGCTGTGCCCTCTAGATCAGGGGTCCCCAACCCATGGTTCATGGACTGGCAACGGGCCACGACATGCCAGAAACTGGGTCATGCAAAGAAACAAAGCCTGTGGTGGCCTGTCAGTTGCTGGCCCCTCCAGCAGCTGAATCAGAGGAGAAGCAGGAGGCGTGGGAGTCAGGGTCAGCATCAGGGCAACCTGAGAGCTCCGAGGGGGGAAGAGAGAATGGAGCTGGCAGAGAGAGAGGCAGAGCCTGGGCCATCCGTCAGCCCTCAGATGGAGGGTCAACAGCCCCCAGATCTGGAGGTGGCTGATGAAGAAGAGGAGGAACAGCTGGGTCCAGGGCCTGATGCCTGGATGGGCAGAAGGAAGAAGAGAGGAGAGCAGTGGAAATCTATGAGCCGGTCCTTGGGAAGGAAGAGTCACTGCTGCTAGTGAAGCCACCCCCCCAGCTCTGGGGATAAAAGGCAGGGAGGGGGAGATGAATAGGTGTGGCAGACAACTATTCATCTCCCTGCTGGACGGCGAGAGATAAACTTTTTGCCGGGGCTGCCGGCACTCCTAATTAAAGGAATCTTTGAGTTCACTTCAGAGGGTTTGTCGTGTTTGGGGAGCTGGGTCAGAACAAAGCCCCATTTGCAGGATGCTGGCAGTACGCAAAACCACCCCCCTCCAGTTCGTGGAAAAAGTTCTCTCCACAGGACCGGTCCCTGGTGCCGAAAACAGTGGTGGTATGCCACCGGTTCGGACCGATTCAGCTGAATCGGTAGTAAAAATACCCTCCGACAATCAGCTGAGAGGAGAAAGAAGAGAAAAGCGCAGAATTGCTCTTTTCTCCTCAGTATCCTCTCAGCTAATTGGCGCCTCAGGCCTCAGGTGGCATGTCGAAAGCTGCGTGTATGTGTTAGGTGCGTGCGCGTTAGGTGCGTGCGCATGAGGTGTGCGCGCGATCATGGAACGGGTAGCGGAACGAGTAGGATCCCCATTGCTGGCCGGAAAGGTTGGTGGGGGGAGGGCCTCTGCTCTAGATGCTGAGTCACGTAGAAGCATTCACGGGAGATGCTAACGTATGAATTGGGAGGGAGCCACGTTGCCTTCTCCAATCTGACATCAAGAACGAAGGACTTGGCGCCGCGAGCATTAAGTAGGGGTTTGGACGGAAGACAACCAGCGTGATAACTGTGAGGGATAAAAATGTGCCTTTGCTGAAAGACAGAGGTGCGAGATGCTTCTGCATATGTTCCACCAAGATGTTCTATTTGTAACTGTGAAGCAGCCTCCAAGCTGCCATCAACGGTTTGTCTTCTTTTGCTTCGGTCTCGAATTCTAAGTGGATTTCACAAACCTTCCAGATCTCGCTCGGTTATTTCAAGGTAGCCTGCTCTTCAGAAGTTGGGTGTTTGTTTTTGCTGTAGCAAACCATCACCTGTTCCTCTGTGCAAATGTCTGCTTTTGTGGTTTAAATATGTTTCGATGTGTCCAGGATTACTTCCAGTATCGGAGAAAGGATCCAGAACTGAGGGAGGTGTTTTGGGGGGAGACGGGGCACGCGAAAGGGTTTGGGTTTAAGGAAAAAATCAGGAAATGGGCATCCACCACAGGGCGGATGGTGAAGAAACATACACGGTGGCATCATGATAGCAACTCTGCTGTACGCACTTGTGTTCAGACATTGCAACACACGGTTTCATCATTTCAGCTTCCACTTTACTTCACTTCAGCTTCAACCGCAACAATACAAGGGCACACAACAGATACAAACTCAGTGTAAACAGCTTCAAACTCGATTGGACAAATGCACTACCTGACTCTGTTGTTACATCCTCTAACCCCCCACTCCTTTAACCTCAAACTATCCACTATTGACCTCACTCCATTCCTAAGAGGTCTGTGAGGGGCGTGCATGAGTGCACCGTCGTGCCTCCCGTCCCTGTCCTATCGTCCCCATTTAGTCGTACCTATTTTCTGTATTCTTACTCATGTTTATACTTATACAAAAAAATGTTTTCAAAGAATACCCACCCCCACCCCCCGCTGCCCAAGAAAGTCCAGTTGCCTTTTGGAAAAAAATAATGCATTTTTAGCAATAGCACATAGACTTATATACCACTTTACAGCCCTCTCTAAGAATCAGCCTCTTGCCCCCAACAATCTGGCTCCTCATTTTATCCACCTCGGAAGGATGGAAGGCTGAGTCAACCTTGAGCTTGGTGGGATGCGAACCGCCAAATTGCAGGCAGCTGGCAGTCAGCAGAAGTAGCCTGCAGTACTCCACTCTAGCCACTGTGCCACCGTGGGCTTCCTCCTCCTATTTTCTCCACAAGAATAACCCTGTGAAGTGGGTTGAGCTGAGAGAAAAATGACTGGCCCCAAATCACTCAGAATAAAGGCAGGACTTGAACTCATAGCCTCCTGCTTTCTAGCCTTGTGCCCTAAATTTCTCAAGGTATCACACCAAGGTTAAATCAAGCCATTGCTAAGTTCTTTCAGTATCTTAACGATGCAATCCATCTGTCCTGGGAGATTTGAGCTCATTCAAAGTAAAGAGCTATTTTCTAGACTATTTTCAGTTTTCTCCTTTCGTTTGCAGGTTTTAATCCAGCCCTTTCATCTTTTTTTTTTTCCCAGTTGCCCAGCGAGACACATTTTTACTCATTGGAGAAGAATTAGGGCAAAGCAGGAACTGACTTTTTCTCTGTTAGTAATTTTCTGTCTTTACTGAGCATCTGACAGACTGATTTTCTCTCTTCTTTTTATTTTGAACACATTGAAATAAGTTCTTTTTGTTACATTTGGCACCCCATATCATTCTCGGCTTTAGCTTTCTTGCCAATCTTTAGTTCTGATCTAAAGTTAGTTTTGATCTACCTGTAAGTATGTTTTTTGTGGCCTCTCGTTTTTCCCCCCACCTTGTTTCTTCTTTGAAAGGAGCATTCCTGCAGAAGAAGAATCCAAATGCCTTCTGCAAAATATATATATCTTTCCTCATTAGTCTTTTTAGATTGAGAGAATCTTAACAATCATGATACAATTCTACATTTGTATCCAGAGGTGGGCTTTAAAAATTTTAAGCAAAGGGTTCTCTGCCTGGTTGCTGGGTGGGTGTGGCCATGGTGGGCGTGGCCTAGCCAGCCTTCTGCACCATGGCGGTGATGGGGGGAGTATTTTGGCCCTCCCTGGGCTCCGGAGTTTTTCCTCGAGCCTCCCCGGACTCCGGAGGCTCTCTGGAAACCAGAAACGAGCCCATTTCCGGCCTTCTTGAACTTCCGGGAGCTCCGTTTTTTGCCCTCCCTGAGCCTCTGCGCAGGCCCTGCACTTGCCTGCATCCAAAGTGGGCTGTTTTGGGACTCCTGGGAGGGGAGGGCCGGGCGGGGCCAGGAGTTGGATTTGGGGGTTCTCCGAACTGCACAGAATCTTAGCTAGGGGCTCTTCCCAAACCCCTGCGAACCCCCAGCAGCCCAGCCCTGCTTGTATCTCAAAATAAGAAAAAAACAAGAGAAATAACCAATATTCACAGTTCAAAACATACTCAACTTTCACAATCAGCCTAGAACAGTGGTGGCTACTCTTTTTGGGCTCCTGTGCCAAAAATTGTGCGTGCGCTTGCATGCTCGGGCTTGTGTGCCAGCACCCAGAAGGCAATGCGTGCCTTCCCATGCCCCCTACATATTTGTGCTCAATTCCCACCCCCGCCATCCCCTTACCTGCACTGCCCCTCACAGCTGATTTTCAGGCGTTTTGAGGCCTTTTTCGGCCTCCCAGAGGCTTTAGGAAGGCTTCTGCAGGCTTCTGCAGGCTTTTCAGGCCAAAAACTAGGCCCGTTTCATCACTTCCGGTATTTCTGGAAAAGCAGGAAGTGATGAAACCCGCCTAGTTTTTGGCCTTAAAAACCCTACAGAAGCCTTCCTAAAGCCTCTAGGATGCGAAAAAGGCCTCAAAACGCCCCAAAATCAGCTGTGAGACGCACGCATCTGAAGTGAGGTAAGTTTGCCTGCTGGTCGTGTACCAGCACAAATGGGTCTGCATGCTACCTGTGCCATAGGTTTGCCATCACGGGCCTAGAAGTTCAATCTAGGAGGAACCAAAGTCTTGGAGTTAAGAGAACTGATATAGATGAGTGACATTTGGTGGTCCTCCACCTTCCTCACCACCACCACCACCTCTTCCTCTTCCTCCTCTCCCTGTTCTTTTCCTGATCCTCCTCCCCCTGTCCTTCTCCTCCTTCTCCTTCCTTCCTTGACCTGCTCCTCCTTTCCTCCTCTTCCTTTCCCTGTCCTCCTCCCCGCTTCCTTGTCCCTCTCCTCCTCCTGCTCCTCCTCTCCCTGTCCCTCTCTTCCTGCTCCT